TGCACTGCACTGATGAGACCCACATAGGTCGAAACAGTGTGCACTGTCTGCAGTTAGATAGCTCTCGCTTGGCTTTGCCTTTTGGCTACCTTGCGATTGAGCACTCTACACTGGGGTTGCCATGCACTTAGCCTTCGGGCGAAGCTCATCACCTTAGTTGTGATTTGAGCACTCGCGCATGGCAACGTGTCTGCACTTGGTCCCACAAGTGTAGCGCCCAGGCAATGGTTTATTCCAGAGCTTGGCCCAGTGTATGCACTGCACTGATGAGACCCACATAGGTCGAAACAGTGTGCACTGTCTGCAGTTAGATAGCTCTCGCTTGGCTTTGCCTTTTGGCTACCTTGCGATTGAGCACTCTACACTGGGGTTGCCATGCACTTAGCCTTCGGGCGAAGCTCATCACCTTAGTTGTGATTTGAGCACTCGCGCATGGCAACGTGTCTGCACTTGGTCCCACAAGTGTAGCGCCCAGGCAATGGTTTATTCCAGAGCTTGGCCCAGTGTATGCACTGCACTGATGAGACCCACATAGGTCGAAACAGTGTGCACTGTCTGCAGTTAGATAGCTCTCGCTTGGCTTTGCCTTTTGGCTACCTTGCGATTGAGCACTCTACACTGGGGTTGCCATGCACTTAGCCTTCGGGCGAAGCTCATCACCTTAGTTGTGATTTGAGCACTCGCGCATGGCAACGTGTCTGCACTTGGTCCCACAAGTGTAGCGCCCAGGCAATGGTTTATTCCAGAGCTTGGCCCAGTGCCTGCACTGCACTGATAAGACCCACATAGGTCGAAACAGTGTGCACTGTCTGCAGTTATATATATATATATTATATAACTGCAGACAGTTTTTTTTAAGTTTTGAAAAGGATTTATTTTCAATAATTCCCTAATTACAGAATAAAAGTGCAGACAGCACATGGGCTTGGCCCTAACTAAATACTAGTACGCAAAAGTACCGAAGATAAAGTTTATATAGCTAAAGGGAGTCGTATTTAAACTAGAATAATTCTTAGCTGCAAGTAAAGATAATTCTAAGTTGAACTAATAAAGAAAGCCGTAAATTTCTAAGAATAATGATATAAATAAAGATAGTCTTATATTAATACAACTCCTAAGATAGTTCTAAGCTACAAATAAATGTAATTCAAATAAGGCAAACATTCATCTAACTAAGGAAAGATATAACTAGGGATAATTTCAAGAAACCTAAAAGGACCTAACCTACTATTAAACAATAAATCTATTTATTAAATTGGTTAATAAATCAACTATTAATTATTTACACGAGAAATTTGATAGTAGTATTGCCTACTTGACACAGTGCTGGAGCTTCCCACAAACTTTTCAAGTCAGATAAACTGAGACGAAAGTGGTCACAGAGAATTCTCTTATTGATATCATTGAGAATATAACGGATTATACCCTCATGATTTTCCTTTGCATTGCGAAAAGTAGCATTATTACGAAACTTCCAAATGCCATACAAGATCGTTTTGATCAGAAAACGGGCCGGTCGCGCATTTTTTGGGCTGGCTAGAGCCCTCTGAAAAAAGAAAACAGAAGTACAAGAGGGGAAGAAATTACCAAGGAGAGAAGAGATCACAGCAGAAAAATACCACCACACTTGTTTAGCACGGGAACAATTAAGAAAACAGTGATCAATTGTTTCTTTTCGAGGGCAGTAGGCATATTTATCAGAATCAATATAGCCCGAATGTTTTAGGGAATCGCGGACTTTAATGACCCGAAGGACAATTAACCACAACACATCATTCGTGTAGTTTTCAGAAAAGTCTTCTCGAACGAATTTCCAGAGATTGTCAAGTTTGAAATCGATAGGAAGAAAGGGGAATCAATAACAGTGAAGAATCGGGGAAGCAGAATTCTCTCTTAACAGGGCCTGATAGCATTTCTTAGAGGTAAAATCAAAGTCTTGCCACTCTTTGCGGGACAGAATCCCGCGAAGAGTGGTAAGCGCCGAAAAAAATTTCTCGTAATATGGTGTGGAGTCATGTGAACTCGGAGTGGAATGGTCGCGAAGAGAATGCCACTCCGGCCGAAAAGAAGAAAGCCTGAATTCTAGTAAGTATTTGGCTAGGTAAAAGGACTTTGATTCGGGGTTAGAGAGATTAGACACGAGAGAGGCAAGCTTTAAGGAATCACCTTTGATTTGTAAATTGAAAATTCCGAGGCCACCTTTGTTCAAAGGCTAGTGGCAGGTCATTCAACTTACCGTCTCAATACGAGAGCCCCAAACAAAAGGCCAAATTAGCGAATTTACTTTACAAATAACCCATCGAGGAACGCCGCACAGAACCGAAGACAGATAGAGTAGTTTACTGATTTCTAAGACATTGACTAAAGAGATTTGCCAACGAGCGAGAGTGAACGAGATTTGCAGAGATTGAGATGTTTTTCCAACTTCTCAAGTTCTAGTTGCCAATTATCCACTTCAGTATCATTGCCGAAAAAAAACTCCTAAGATTTTCATTTTGGTCAACCACCTGAGGCCATATGGTTGATCGCTCCGTGTACGCCACGCACCCAACCACATGGCCTCCGTTTTGGCGACATTAAGGCGCGCTCCAGAACCATAAATATTAATGGTATCAAAGAGAGATGCCAACGAACGAGTAGACTTAACAATACAGGTCGTATCATCAGCATAAACCCCAACTTTATATCTTATTCCGCGTGCACCGGGTAAGAGAAAGCCTTGTATGGCGGGATTGTTTCGAATTTTACAGGCGAGAGTTTCAACATATAAAATATACAACAAAGGGGACAGGGAATCCCCCTGTCTCACTCCGCGAGACAAAGGTATCGCTTCAGTTAACCATTCATTAACGATGACTTGCATCTTAGCATCATCATATAGTGCGCTAACCCAGTGGCAAAATAATGAACCAAAACCAAAACGGTTTAAGAGATTTAATAAAAAGGTGCGATTAACCCGATCGAAGGCTTTCTCTTGATCGAGGCTGAGTAAATTGCCGGTTTCGTTAGTGCGCTCAATATAGGCTAAAATATCCCGCAATAGGTGTAGGTTTGACGTAATTTTC